GAAAACAACCAACACTGGCCGTCTGAGGCATAAACGAGAGCGAAAGAAACCATTAGGCCAAAATCTGAAAGGAGAGAACCCAGAGGTAGGAGTTGGTCTTGTCCGGGAAAACCCTAGCTGGTTCCTGGGAAAGAGAACCGTGGTACCGCGAGAAATCAAAGCCCTGGGCTCGCCACGCAAGAGAGCCTACGGGGGGCCCTCCCTTGTTTCCTGTCCTTCCCCTCTCTGGTTCTGAGACGAAGGTTTTCTTGGTGTCATAAACTGCTGCTGCTTTTTCTGCTCTCTGGAATAGTCTGAGGTGCAGTGTTGGAATAATCTGTCCTTGAGCATGAGGAAGAACTGGCCTGGACAGCCTTCGGGGCTGGTGTTTTCACGGTTCTGTCTGGTTTGGGTGCGTGCTTGAATGGCTCACACACACTGTCGAGGAGACTGTTCAAGTTTTGGCCTTTTTTGAGTGCGTTCTGGTAGGCTGTATCCTTTCTAGGAGATTGCCCGTTGCATGTTAAGTTTTTTAATTTACTAGCAAAAAGCTATCTGTAAGATCCTTTTTTAAAACAAATATATTTTTGAGAGAGACACACACCCAGAATCCAAAGCAGGTTCCAGGCTCCAAGCTGTCAGCACAGAGCCCAATGCAGGGCTTGAACCCACAAATCATGACCTGAGCCACCCAGGCACCCCCTTTTTTAAATACCCCTAGTGTAACTGTCGCTATCCCCTCTTACACCTGAGATTGTTTATGTACCATCTTGACTTTTCCTCCTCGGTCTTGCCAGTTTTGGGTAGTCTTTTCAACGTTTTATTTTTATTTTTGGGACAGAGAGAGAGCATGAACGGGGGAGGGGCAGAGAGAGAGGGAGACACAGAATCGGAAACAGGCTCCGGGCTCTGAGCCATTGGCCCAGAGCCCGACGCGGGGCTCGAACTCACGGACCGCGATATCGTGACCTGGCTGAAGTCGGACGCTTAACCGACTGCGCCACCCAGGCGCCTTTGGGTAGTCTTTTCAAAGATACCACTTTTCATTTTATTGATCCTCTCTCCTGCATGTGTTCTGCTCTATATTGTTTCCTGTCTTCTCTCGCGGAGTTCATTAGATATATATTTTTACCTAATCAAGTAGGCAGGTAGCTCATTGGTTTTCAGTCTTTATTTTCTCGTATGAGCATTTATAAATTTTTTTTTCAACGTTTATTTATTTTTGGGACAGAGAGAGACAGAGCATGAACGGGGGAGGGGCAGAGAGAGAGGGAGACACAGAATCGGAAACAGGCTCCAGGCTCCAGGCTCCGAGCCATCAGCCCAGAGCCTGACGCGGGGCTCGAACTCCCGGACCGCGAGATCGTGACCTGGCTGAAGTCGGACGCTTAACCGACTGCGCCACCCAGGCGCCCCTCGTATGAGCATTTAAAGCTTCAGCCCTCTTCTAAATCCCAGATCAGCTGCCTCCCCCAAGTTCTGATTCACATTCAAGTCTTGGATCCCTGAGCTGCTTGGACGTGTTTGAAGTTGTATGTATCTGAGTGCTGTGTAAGAGTCGGCTATCACTGCCTGTCAGTATCCATTCTTTCCGCCTTCCTAACGGCATGACGTGAGGAACGACGAGGCAATGTGCCCAGTCACAAAAACCATCTTTCCGGGTCTCTCTTGCAGACCGGTGTGGCCATGTGGCTAAGGCGCAGTCAGCGAGAGATGAGGGAATGTTCCCGCTGGGACTTCTAGGAAAGCGCCGCGGAAGGAGCACACGGTTTGCGGGGACACCTTTGCCTGGCCCCCTCTTCCTGCCTTCCTGCCCTAAAGGCAGATGTGATGGCAGTGGCCCCGCAAGCATCCTGCATTTGAGGGGATCTTCCGGCCTGAAGGCGTGAACTGGAATGGCGGGGAGGGCTGGCCACGGAAGGAGCTACGGGTCCCCAGTGACCTGGAAAGCCACCCTATGGGCCCTGAACCTACCACTGCTGTATCGCCAAAGAAAAGAAACCTGCATTGGGTTCAGCGACGGTTACCTGGTCAATTGCAGTTCCTAATTAATACAGAGGCTGCCAAGACCCCGCTTGGGACCGGTTTTTTGATCGTGGAAGATTTCACCTATACGAAAGCATTTATAACTTAGACTAATAATAAAATGCACCCCACTTCATCCACCATCCAACTTGAAAAAGGCGGAACCCTTCCAGGCTCCCTATGTTCTCGAAACTACGCCTCCCCGCCTGCTCCCCAGCTGTCACCCCGCCAAAAGGAACCCCTATTCTGGATTCTGTGTTCAACATTCCCTTATTTTTCACTGATGGTTAGACCACACATTTTGGTAACCCCAAGTTACACTGCTCTGTTTTGCTTATATCACACTATTTCTCCGCCGTTCGCTTTTTTCCTCAACCGTACGAGACACACCCATGTTGATGTACGTAGCTGTGGTTCATTTAATCTCGCAGCTCCGTACCGTTTATTGCACGAACACGACACTATCCGTCCCTCCGTTTTTGGGTTATTTCAAGCTCTAAGCTATTACAAAATGCTGATACCGACACCCCTGTACTCGTGCCCTGGTGACCCATGGGACAGAGTCTTCAGGAGAAGGCTTCCTCTGACACCATGACATACGCAGACTGTGACATTTACGTGCACACCGGAGGTAACGTGGAGGGGTGCAGAGTTCTGCATGCAGCTGCAGAGGGGGCCCACAGCATGGCTCCTCGAAGGCTCGGGGGACCAGTAAAATGAAGCACATCGGTGCCCCACAGTATGGTGGCAGAGGCACGCAAGCCGGCCAATGGTGCCAGATGAGTCCAAATGGTCTCCCACGGCTCCCAAGGGGGACAAGGTACTTCCGGCTCTCACAGAGCTCTTGGAGCACCCCACTCGTCCTCCTCCACAGCCTGGATGTTGTTAGACTCCCTTTTTTTGTTGTTTATTTCAGGGGGAGGGGTGCAGCAGGGGCAGGGAGAGGGAGACACAGAATCCGAAGCAGGCTCCAGCCTCTGAGCTGTCAGCACAGAGCCCGACTCAAGGCTCAAACTCACGAACCGAGAGATCGTGACCTGAGCTGAACCTGAGCTGAACCAACTGAGCCACCCGGGTGCCCCTAGACCTACTTTCTATGCTCTTAATTCATGTTTCCTCACTGCTAATGCGATGGGGTATCTTGTACTTCCTGTCTATTCCTACCTCCTCTTCTGAGGCGGCTATGTGCTTCTTTTGCCCGTGTTTTATCGAGCTGATTTTCTTAAACAGCTTGTTCCTGGCATCCTTGATCTATTCCAGACAGTAATCATTTGTCAGTTGTATATATTATAAGATCTTCCCACGTTAGCCTATTTTTCACTTTTCACGGTTCATGATTTAATACAATTAAAGAGATTCATCGTCTCTTCGTGGTTTGAGCTTTTTGTGTGCCTTCCTCAGGAAGTTCTTCTCTATGCTTTTTGTTATTGAATAAAAAAAAAACGGTTTTGTAGTCAGAGAACATGCTCTATGAATCAGGTAATTTGCAATATGCTGAATCTTGCTTTCTGATCAAGTAGGAGGGTAACTTTTACACATCCCAATGTTTATTTGAGAGTAAGATGCACTTTCCAATTGTTGGGTGGAGGGTGCTGGAATAAACGTCCAACAGATAAGGAATGACAGACGCCGGCCAGGGGGATGGGTAACAAATCCAAGCCCCGGCCATCTGTTTACATATTGTCTCTGGCTGCTTTCACGCCACAACGGCGGAGTTAAGTAGGTGAGACAGAGACCATATGGCCTCCCAAAGCTGAAAATGTTTACTCTCTGGCCCTTTACAGGAAAAGCTTGCCAGCCTCTGTTGTGTTCAGAACGGTTTCCCTAGTTCTTTTTTTTTTGTTTTTGTTTTCTCTTTTGGTCTGCTGGGTATCAATTGATGAAAGAGCCATTTTTAAATCTAAGACAACACCACTTTTGGCAATTTCTCCCAATCCTTGCTTGTGATGTTACTTTATGTCAAGGCGAATTTATTAGACGCAAATGAGTTTTAAACCGCTCTATTTTCCTGGTACATGACTTATTAATTAAATGTATCAGCATCATTAAAGCAGTGGTCACTTTTGTCCCTAGTAATTACTTCTCTGAAACCTGCCTTTTTTTGATTAGAGTTTTTTCACTCCGTTTTTTACCTGACTGAAGTTTTAACTCTTTCAAATGTTCCCCTCACGTTGTAACATCAATTCTAGCCTTAATAAAGTAAAAAAATCCCCTCAGTGTCTTTATCCTCCTCCGCAACGACGTAAGAGCATCTGAACTCTGTCAGATTTCAACCCCTCTGCTTGCTTCTTTGCTATTTATTTTTATTGTTTTTAATGGAGAAATACATCATCTGTTTTCAAAATAGTGCTCAAAAAATACAAGGGGTACAGGTGCTATAAAACAAAGCAAACTCCCATCATGAGGCACTACGTACATCATGTGAAAAAAAAAAATAAAAAACTAGTCCAATATTCAGGTAATGAAAACTAGAAAGTTCCCAGTTTCCAGCTTGGTTAATTATAGTTACGTGAAACACTTAATAAACTACTTTTCCCCTATGTGTTAACGAAATGACAAGACCAAATTCGTGCCTGGCAATTCCAACCTGACCCCACAGCTACCTGAAATACAGAGTTACTGTGCACACTCCACCTGACCTAGGGTGCCGGAAGGGTAAAGGACTTGACAGGGCAGACGTGGAAACCACGAACGCTGTGTACTTGACATCACAAAGTAAGGGTGAAAAGAAATCCTCAATTACTGCAGAGCCTAAAGGGAAGACTAATCCAACCTTGGAAAGTGAATCTAGAAGGACAGGGGAAGGGCGTAAGAAATTATAGTTGAGTATGAAAAATGCACGTGTGGTAGAAAGGGACACGGCTGGGGGAGGCTGGAATCAGGACAGGCTAACTGGAAAACCTGTCAGGCTCACTGCGTCCAGATTAAGGCAGACTACGTTTCCATTCATCTACATCTGGGCCATTCATGTTTCCTAAACACGGATGTTCTGCTGCTTAATTATGAGTGGTCTTTTTTTTTTTTTTTTTTTTAAATTAAGGAAGGTATTCCTAATCTCTTATAGAATAAAACAAAAACAGAAAGCTGACTAGATGTCAAGTGCTTGCTAGGAATTATTTTTTACATCTTAACATGTAAAAATTGATGAATTTTAGTGAGTCCTTTAAAAATAAAAATTGGTTTAAATATTTGAGGGAAATGGCTTTTCGCTTACATGTTAAAATTGGAAATTAACTTTAGCACAGTCTGTGCAGCATACAAAATTTCCCATACGTAGAGCTCGTTTGAGCCATCCAGGGCCAATAACGTGTCTCCCAATTCGCTACTTTTAGGAAAGTTTTAGTAAAATATTAGCCATGGAGCCAAAATCCAGTGTTTTGTGCCACGAGGCCGCAGGACTGTTGGCTTCATATCACGGTTAAGAATATACTAGCATTCCAGGTATTTTCATGAATCTACATACAAGCATACTTTGTGCATACAAGCAAAGAGAACGGAGTTGGGGTGAGGGGAGAGGCAAAAAACTTTTCTGTTTGAGGAAAAATGATTAAGGGCAAGAGACTAGGGAGTTTTGTTAGCTCTGAGGCTGTATTTGCTGTTTGCTGATTGTATGCGCTCTAAAACGATTGTACAGATAAAACCAATATATCATTTCTTGATTGTGTCCCAGCAAAACCAAAGACTATCTACTGCTTCAATGTCAAATATATACCCTATGCGTTGACATTTCACTTTTAAAGGGTTATGGCTACCTCACAGAGACCGAATTAGATGTACTTTTACACTTTTTCTGAAGTTTAGTACACACTGCACCACGGCATCCCATCTGACGATTAATAACGAAGAAAACTCTTCAGGAAAAAACTAGAATTCATCAAGCTGGAAAACTTAAAATTAGTTCTACTTTCTAATAGAAATATACATACAGTGCATCATCAGTATAAGGAATTCTGATACCAATTTGTATTGCCAATTTTCCCCAACAATGCATCAAACATAAATCCAGTCCAGATGTCAGGCATGGGGTTGCCAGCTGAAGGGTTTTTTGTTTTTGTTTTTTTTCTCTTTATGGGCACTAGTCCTTTAAAGTAGTTGCTACGACTGCTGCTGACACATTAATAACAGTTCTAGCTTCACCTACTAACCTGGACTTCTGATCAAGATTAGCCAAGTAAAGGAAGTTACCAAATAAGGCTAAATCTATTTTGAGTCAAATCTCGTTTGGTACCCTCCATTCTCTTCCTGTGGCATTTGAAGACAACAGGTTGAGTTGGCAGATCTTGTTTACGGACCCTGGAGGGTGTTTTTGTCAGTTCAGTGTGTCTTACTGAATTCTTGGTAACAGGAGCAGGATCTGCAGGAAGAGCAGGGATACTGAAAAGTTCTGTACTGGATGTTTTCCAGATGGCCAGCCACTATCTGAATGGTTTCTAGTGGAGTTAGACTGTCTCTTTAGGAGATTGTTCCTCTTCTTTTAGTTGCTTTGGTCCTTTCTGAGGTGAGAACGTCTGCTAGACTCCCACTATAGGATTAGCTATGTTTGTTGCAGTGCCCCCTGAAGGCCTGGGCGGATGACTTACCAGACGTGTAGAAGAAACAACTCTGGCAACTGTGGGCTTTGGTGGCGGACAAAGGGCTGGTGGTGAGGCAGTCTGAGGAATGCTTTCCCCCGACGCGCCCAAGCTTTCACTGGGATTCGCTTGTTGCAAGGAGACTTCAGTAACTTGCACATTGGTCACAGATGCCACCATTATAGCAGGAGCAGGACTGTTTCTGCCCTGACAGCTGCCAGTCGTCGGGCCGGTCTTCATAATGCTAGTAGGTGAAGGCACAGACATGCCGTCTTCACCGTCTACAGAGAAGTCAAGGCTGTTGTCATTCAAAGCTGTCAAAGTGACACCTTCCGCTGAATGTGTTTTCTTTTTCTGAAGCACTTGATTAGGTAGTAGTTGATGAAGTTCCTTTCTTCTTAAATGCATTGCAGCAATTTTCATATCTACCTCAAACATCTTAGTATTTATTGCTTGCCTATAAACCGTATCCGTGAAAGACTGGATATCATAGGTGAGATCAACACTGAGAACGTCAGAGTTTTCCGGCTTTTTTAACACTAACCCAATCACCCACATCGTGCGAAATTCTTCCCTGTCCGGATTTTCTTTAGGAGCTGGAAATGACTGAGGATTCACATGCGCCAGAGTAATAAATTCATTCTTCTCCAAGCTCCCAACCAGGATTCGGATTTTTGATTCCACCAAGCCCACCCATTCTAGATGTTGTTTTTCTGTTGGTGCACTTGCTAGAAGTACAATATAATGCTTGTACTTTTGAAAGAAGCTTGGAGCTTCAAAAAGCTTGGACCACTCTGCCTTACTCAGCAAAATTTCGTGTGTAATGGCCAGCCCTTGTTTAAACTCCTCAATCATGACCATCCTTGTTGAAACAGACACATTGTATGTGGAGTTCTGCTGTGGGTACGCTGGTGTGATTATGGGCATAAGATGGTACCTATCACTGGGATTTACTCTTGGGTCCCATACAGGCAAATTAAGGTTCTGTTCTTCGGGCTCTTTCAGTAGCACTGGATTTGGCCACTCCCATTCAGAAAACACCAAGAAAAACTTACGTACAAGAGTCGATGCTATCGCATTTGGATAGAGCTGGCAAGTTCTTGCCACTAGCATGGCCCAGGAAACACCTCCTAGGAAACCTAATATATTGGAATAGATATTGTGACATTTGGCCCACAATTTGATAGCTCTCAGAGTTAACCTGAAGTTGTCAATGTCGGGTACCAGATGTAAAATTTCATCTGTCACCCGGCAACCGTTAAGGCTTCTTATGCATCTAATATCTAAATTTTTAAGCAGACTGTCATCTCTTAGGTCCAAATCTTCTGGAATGGTCTGCAGCGCCAACCTTGCAAACAAAATATCAATCTCTATCCCATCAAAACACAGTTTAATAACTGGCACAAACGCCTCCTCAACAGCCCTTAAATCTTTCACTTCTTCGTGTAGTTTCAATTTATCATAGAACGAGGTGAAAAAGTCGCTTCGGTCAACATGTCTTGGAGCAACGCACAACGCATCGATATCGGCACCTTTCGTGTGTACTCCTAACCTGTAAGAGCCGAACGTAAAGATTTTCCCGCCAACATTTTCAATTACAGCTTGTGGAAGGCTCTTGCTTTCACTGACCTCCCGTATCCATTCCTTCACCAGATTATTTAATTTTTCCAAAATTAAAATCCGGCGCTGCAGTTCCTCTTCCTCTTCAAAAACCCCGAAGGGCTTCAGGGTTTCGATTAGCTTCTGGGTAAGTACGCAGTCAGTCTCCTTGGGGGCTGCTAAACTGATGGGGGAGGAGATGCCACAGCGCTTGGGCGGCGGCGGCGTCTGTTGTGATCCAGGGGTCGTCACCGGAAACGGCATCATCTCTAGCGCCGGCCCCGCCACGCCACTTCCCCCGCCACCGCGACCTCCGCCCGGGTCATGATCCGCTGAGGCGGGAGGGGCGGGGCTCCTGCCGGCCCGGGTCCAACCCGCTCCCGCTCCCACTCCCTCTCCGCTCCCGCCGCTTCAAGCGCTTCTCTGCCTTCCCCTCAGCCCCAACATGGCGCCGGGGCCCTCGGCGCGGCGTTCTAGAACGGCCGCGCAAGCCACGCACGCCACGGCGCCTGCGCCGCGCGCAGAGCCCCACGGGAGTTGTAGTTTCGCGGGGGGGTGGGGCAGGGCAGGCGGGCAAGGGTGCGCCTCGTCAGTACCGTTTACGCACACCTACCATCTACCGCCCAGGTCTCCAGTGCCTCGCACCTCAGATCTACTTCCTCTCCAGGAGCAGCTTCCGGGGGGCCTCCGCCCTAACGCACGTCCTTCGGAAACGCCTCGCAGTCAGGGTCTGCTGCTGCCAAGCGGACGTCCCTTTGCGTCCTCCCTGGCCAGGTGCCTGCCTGGGGGCTCAGCGGTGTCGGCACCTCGGGGTCGACGGTTCTGTTCTTTCCAGCCTTGAAGGTCCTCCACGCCGCCTCTGCTTTCCACGGCTTCTGTTGAGAAGTCTGCAGTCCGGCCGACCCGCTCACCTGTCTTTCTGGCAGCGATACAAATCTTCCCTGCCCTCCACGTCCTGCGATACCGCCACCGGGTGTCGAGGGATAAACTTTTCCCTTATCTCATCGTACACGGTGATTTCTGAACCGTAAGATGCGCGGTTTTCGTCTCATGACCCCAGGAAGATTCTCAGGCATGTCCTTGGAGTATGCCCTCCCCACCACCGATGCGCTTCATGCGGACACGTGATGGACTCTCTCATTGGGCTCTCCATGTCTCCCGCCTCCCCCTTCTTCCCGGGCGATGCCGGGTCTACCTCTCAGTTCTCTGATTCAGTTGCAGTTAGTCTGCTGTTTAAGCCGTCACTGAAGTATCCATTTCAATACTTTTTTAAAGTTTATTTATTTGGGGGGGGGGGGGGGGAGGGCGCACACACGAGTGGGAGAGGGGCGGAGGGAGAGAGACAGAATCCCAAGCAGGCTCTGGGCCGATGGCATGGAGCCCCATGTGGTGCTCAAACCCATGAATCGAGACATCATGACCTGAGCCGAAACCAAGAGGCCAGTGCTTGACCAACTGAGCCACCCAGGTGCCCCTCAATACTTAACATCTTTAATCACCAGAAGCATTATCTTGTTCTTTTCCAAATCTTTCCAGCCTCTTTGGAAGACATTCTGTTTTCTTTCTACCTTTTATTCATTGAACACTAAACTTACTTAATATTCTATAACTAACGGTTCCTGCTCTTAATATTCCTGATAATCTGATTCTAGCTTGTTTTCTACCAACTCAGACCAACATCATTTCACGTGTCTTGTAATTTTGGGACTGTGAGCTCATCTCTGGTGAGGCTTGGGATGCCTGTGTGGATGTCCTCCCAAAGAGGATTTGCTTTGTTTCTATCAGATGTCTTTGTACACTATCGAGTTGTACAATGTAATTTAATTCCTCTTCCAAGGACTAGCCAGATTACCAGAGTAGTGCGATTTTGAACCCCGAACACACGTGAGAGGAAAAGTATTTTTCCATTCTAGGAGAGTTTTCCCCACCCAGACCCCAGGTCAAGAAAGAGAACTCTAGGGGCGCCTGGGTGGCCCATTCGGTTGAACGTCCGACTCGATTTCAGCTCAGGTCATGATCCCAGGGTCGTGGGCTTGAGCCACGTGTTGGGCTCCATACTGAGAATGGATCCTGCTTAAGATTCTCTTTCTCTCTTTCTCCCTCTGCCCCTCTCCCCCATTGTGTGCTTTCTGTCTCCCTCTAAAATATTAAATAAATAAATAAATAAATAAATAAATAAATAAATAAATAAGGAATGAAGGAGGGAGGGAGGAAGGAAGGAAGGAAGGAAGGAAGGGAGGGGAGGAGGGGAGGAAGGAAGCAGGAGAGGAAGGGAGGGAAGGAAGAAGGAAGGAGGGAGGAAGGAAGATAACACTTTGTCATCTCCTTTCACCAGGTAGCAGGTTCTCCCTACCCCATCTTTTCATTCAGCGTGTCACCCTTTGAGAGTTGCAACCATATCTGGGGGTTTCAGTTCCATTTCTCTACCTCTGTAGGTCCCGAGGCTCTGCCTCTTTCCTGGGCAGCTGCTAAAATAAAGGTTCTTGGTTACAAGGACTGGCAAATGCCTCCAGAGCCATGAGAGCTTTAGAATCAGTTAAGTTTCTGAGGTTTCAAAGTACCTCTTTGGGGTTCTTTCAACCCTGCTGACCTACCTTATTTTCTTAGGCACTCGGCTTGGCATCTTAAAGGAGAATTTTTTTTATGTTTCAACCAACCCTTCCAGGTTCTCTATACAGAAAGATTTTCTAGCATAAGTCATCCCACGTATTACAAGAATAGAAGTACCTGGTTTTCCGCCCACTTCAATACGGCTTGCATGCTCCACATTCCAGCAGCACAGCTCTCAGTAAGGTCTTTGGTGACTGCCATGTCGTTGAATCCAATGGTCTACATTCTTTTGGTCTATGGTGGCCTCTTCTTGGCCTCCATGGCACCACACTCTTTGTCCCGCCTTGTGCATCTCTGGCCTCTCCTCAGCCTATAAGGCTATGACTTGGCCTCTAGAGTTGGTGTCACTCCAGTTTCCGTTATCAACCCCTCGTTTCTCTTTATCGCATATACATTCGCTGCCTAGATGATCTCAGTTTTCACAGCTTTAAATATCAACTATTTACGGCTTAATTCAAGTTTTTGTAACAGACTCTCTTCTAGGCTGCAGATGCGTATTATCTGACTTCCTGTCTACCACCTCCATTGAATGTCTCAAACTTAACACAGTCCAAAGAGACCTCTTAGTCCTCCCTCCATAATTTGTTTCTCTCTCAGTAGTCACCGTTTAGGGCATGGCATCTCCATCCACCCAACTGGGCATACCAGAAACCTGGCGGTCATTCTCAACGTCTCCCTCTTTCTCACACTCAACATCTAGGTCTTTACAAATATTAGTGATTCTGCCTCCAGAATATATCTGCAATTCATACACTTCTCTCTACGTGTTCCCTCCGAACTCTACTGGAGGCTACCACCAACTCTCATCTAGGTTCCTACAATAACCTAATCATCTCCTATTACTGACCTTCTCAGGTATTTTCTTTTTTTTAATATTTTTTTTAGTATTTATTTCGTTTTGAGAGAGAGACAGAGTGCCAGCGGGGTAGGGGCAGAGAGAGAGGGAGACACAGAATCCGAAGCAGGCCCCAGGCTCCGAGCTGTCCGCACAGAGCCCGACGCGGGGCTCAAACTCCCGAACCGTGAGATCGTGACCCGAGCCGAAGTCAGTTGCCCCACTGACTGAGCCACCCAGGCGCCCCTCAAGTATTTTCTGCCTGGGAGCCAGAGTGGTATTTTAACCCCTTTGGGGCCTCCCATTATACTTAGTCTAAATCTAAAATACCCAACGACCCAAGCTTGTCTGTCTTTCCCCTGACCATCTCCCCAGCCCCACTGCCCACAGCTCCCCCCACGCTCCAGCCACATGGGCCTCCTTTCAGTGCCTTGAATTTGCTTCATTCTCTCTCCTCCTGGAGTCTGTACACAGCTGTTCCCTCTGCCCAGAGAGCTCTTCCTGCCCCACCAAGTATCTGCTGCCCTTTGCCTGGTTAATGTGTCGTCATCTTTAAGACTGGCTTACATTTTACCTCCTCAGTGAGAATTTCCCTAACCTTCATGCGAAATTAGCTCATGTGCTTTTCTTCCGTAGCACGTATCACAATGTGTAAGTATGGTTTTCGTGTGATTATTTCTTGGTCTTTACTTCCCACTAGACTCTTAAGCTCCATGAGAACACAACCTCTTTGTTTTGTCAACTGCTATATATCCAGCACCTAACAGAGTAGAGCCCAACAAATATGTGCTGACAAATTAGTGAATGAGCACAAAAAATACAATTCTTTCTCCTACGAGTCACTGGCTAATCAATATCCAGAAGACGCAGTTCTTGCATTTTCATTAGGTAGAGGCCGGTTTCAAATGTACACATTGGGAAATCATCGTGCGACTCAGTTCACAGTTACTCAGACCAGTTGGCTACAGGGACTTTCTACAGTTGCGTGACTCTAAGACCCTTGCTACATTAACATTACAGCACCTTTTGACTTAAGAGCGATTCCAAGGGAGATTTTTGAGGGCCGGGGGCTCATACTCCGTGCCTAAGGATGCGGAAGGACCACACAAGAAAGCACACCATCGTCATGGCAGCCTTTCTGGAGAAGCTGCTGTCCGTCAGCGCTTAGTAGGAAACAAAGTGGATACATCTGTAATCCAGAAATTCCATTCCCGGGAGAATGCCCTCCGAGGACTCTGCACAGACCCTCAACAGGGTGGGAGCGCCAGTGTTTGTAGTGGGAAGAAGCTGGATGCGACCTGAGTGCCCGTGATTAGGGGAATGGATAAGGTGGTTTATGTAGGTGATGGAAAACCAGGTCTGAGTGAAATTTACAGCACCACAGATAGACCTTAATCTTATTATACACGGTCCTCAGTTGAAGAGAAAGTTTAAGCTCGGATATAGTCAAATCCATCTACCTCTTCCCCTTATGGCTTGTGCCTTTTAAGCCTTCTCTATGAAATCTTTCTTCTTTTGGCTGAAGCCAGTCATCCCAACACCATTTATAAAACCCTTTCCCCACAATCTGTGACGCGATCGATCTACACTGTGCCAAATTCCCACCGGGTCAGTCAACACAGGTCTGCCTCTGCCTTCTCTACTCTGTTCCTTCCGTCGGCTTGGATTTCCTGTCCACAGACCACATGCCTTCAGTTACCACGACTTTATCACCTATCTCAGAGCTTAGGAGATCGATACCCCCTACCCCTGCTCATCCTGTTCAGACCTATCTTGGGCATTCGAGAACCGGTATTCTTTCACAAAGATGGGCTCAGTCTCTGCAAGGACAGCACAGCAAAGAAGGTGGACTTGGGCCTCATTTACTGCTGTCACTCTGGACACATCTGAATGTGTATCCCAGACCTCAGTGAACATTTCTGCCACGTCAGCCTTCAGAAGGAAGAAAAGATAGTTGGCTAGCATTCTCTGTTTACGTGAGTATAGCATCTAAAACCCTGAGAGGGGGCGCCTGGGTGG